TTTGTGGTTGTTTTTGCGTTTTTTTTTTTTTTGGGGGGGGGGGGGGGGTGGCATTGTTGTGAAACCACAGCCAAGCAAGGCAGATCATAAGCAGCAGAAGTTAAGCTATGCTTCCACAGTCACTCTCAGCCAGCATCTGTCCACAGATGCACAGGAACAGGGTCGGGACCCTGGTCAGAGCAAGCAGCCCCAGTGGCAGGGAGGCACGGCGGGTACCCAGCCGCAGCACTGCCGGCCAGTCTCACCAGGCAGCACGAGATCTGCCATACATTGCCAGTTTTGACCTGCACACCAAAACACTCAGAAAGCTAAGCCAGCACAAAGGTTTGTCTGCTGAGACAGTTTTTAGCTGGACCAAGATCTGATCTAACTCAGGTGAGATGGACATCTGTGCCAACACACAGGAGCAGTGGGGACACGCGGCCCAGAGGGGTGGCAGGAGCATCCCTTCCGGCAGGAGCAGCTTTTGTACCCACTCACAGCAACATTAAAACTGCTGCTTAAGCTGGTGGTACCACAGCAGCCTAATCCATCAGAACTGGGACTGCAGTATCTCACTCCTTCCTCCTCTCCCACCAACATCCACAGTCTTTTAGCAGCTATCTGAGCCAGCTGAGCACACAAACAACAAAACGACGAGAACAAGCTCGGCACAGGAGAAAAGCAAGGAGTGTGCAACAGCCACAGTTCTGATCAGCTGAAGCTGTCATGAGGCCCCTGCAGACCATTTGCCAACTACTGGACTTAGCTGGCACATTTTGGAAGCCAGTTAGTTATACAGGGAATGTTCTGAATGCCTCCCTTAGACGTGCCTTGGCTCAAAACCAAACAAGAAGTCAGGGCTGGAAATACACCTTCCTAGGGACAAGCCACCATTTAAACAGGTTTGCCTATTCAGCTAACTATCCTAGTGTTTATTTACACCCAAAACCTGGGTAAAAAGCCTGACGATTCCCTTCAAGAGAGGAAGGAAGGCGAGGCAGCAAGATCCTGGTTTTCCAAAGTACGTCCTTCCTGGTTTGAGGCAGCAATCACGTGTGCTCATCTGACAGCACATTAATGGGAGCAGCCCCAGCCTGCAGGAAGCATACCCTCTCCACCCTGAAGATTTTCCCTTCCCTGGGGCCATAGGGGCAACGTGCATGCCACTGCGGTCAAAACCCTTCAGCTTAGAGGAAAACAACAATTCCAAGACAGCAGCTCTTGAGACACAGAAAAGTCACAACAACAACACCAACACACCAAACACCCCACTCCATAAAAAAAACCAAAATGAGCACGACCACCAGTCCTTAGCGATGGCTTCAGTCACCGTGTAACTTCCTGACAGTGGTTTCCCTACTGCTGTCATCTCCTTTCATACCCTATACCCACAGGGCCTGGTCATCTTCCCTGTTCTGTCCCACCCAAACACCACCTTAGTCTCCAGCTTGGGTTTGGAGTGGAAGAAGGAGGGACAGAAGCGAAATATCATTCATTTTGTAAGATTTCCCTGTCCTACCTCAGACCCCCAGCACTGTCCCTGCCCCCATCCCCCCACTTTGCCGCTCACCACGAGGGAGGAGCAAAGGCACTCTCCATTCCTCCCATCTGACACTCAAGTTCACTACAAAAGCACAGAACACCATTCAAGGAGCACTGGTTTAAATAAACTGATTTCAAGTGATAAAGCAGCACGTACTTTCCACCGCCGCATGCCGGCTGAAGGACTGGCAGCTAACAGCTCATAGCAGGAACTTACCGGTGTGCTGATAACCACACGCACGCTCACTGCGGCTGCCCGCGTGCCAGAACGTGGTTCCCAGAAGCATGGAAGTGCTGCACAGCACAAGGAAACTGCAGGTAGCACCTACGTAGGCGTTTTCTTATCTAGCAGACAAAAGTCACCAGAAAGGACAAGGATTCCCAAATCCTGCCGCATTTTGAGAAACCCTTGTTGCACTAGGGCAACGCAATGGGGGACACAACCACCTGCCTTCGCACCGCTCCCTGCCAGGCAGAAGCAAAGAGGCAAAGCTCTTTCGGGTGACCCTTCCACACCTCCGAGAGGAGCAGCATTTGTAAGAGATATAGGATAGATCCAATACGCTGTGTTTAAGAGAGGTTTAGCAGCAGGACAGGGTAACCAAAACCTCTGGTCCCACACACACCCAGCCTGCTGCCTGTATCTTATTAATATTCACAACTTCCTTTGGTTTTGCCATCAAAGACATCTTCTGTTAGTCTTACCAATATACAAAGACTACTGAAACAAGTAACTGCTTCAGATTTAAAATCCTTTTGAGGTAGGATTTCCCAGGGTATTGATTTATTTGCCCCCTATATTTAGCAGTAAGAAGTTTTTATTTGCAAGGAGTGGAAGTTACTTTTCATTTAAGACTCCAGCTGCCATTTGAATAGAAAATTGCTGCCATCCGTTAAGATCGGGGTATACCTGACAGGTAAACCCATCTACTAGGCAGCTTCTTATAACTGGACATAAGTTAAAAAAGGCTGGTAAGTCTCCCCACACAACTACTCGATACGATGTTCTGTTTTGACAGATTGAATATATTGACAGGTCTATAACTTGCTTTAGCCATAAGGCATCTAGTGTTTTGTAGAAGCAAGCCCCACTCCCTCAGAGGAAGCTGTATTTATCACAAATTGCTTAAAAAGAAAATTGAAAAAGAAAAAAAAATGGGACTGTCACACCACGCAAAGAGCATACCCTGTTTTTTACTTCCATTTTTGCCATGCTGCTGCATTTCAGCCTAAAAAAAGTACTCTCGCTGGCTCAAATAATATCTCCCAAGTTTCATGAATATTCATATTTCACATAAATATATGTCTTATTGCGGTTCAAATCACTAAGGGCTCTCAGAATGACAGGCAATCTAATTAAGAGGAGGGGTGGGAAGAAGAATAAATAAAACCCCAAAGTTCACCAAGTAGTTTTACACAATCTCAAGTTTGGAAAGGGGTCATGTTTATGTTCCTGGAGGCTGCACTAAATAAAACATCCCCAGATTCTCAGAGACAGGCAGATCTGGAAAGAAACAGTCAGTATTAACACTGGCAGAACAACTGGGAGATGTGAAGCTAAAACTTTCACCATATACTATGAAACTGAGCATAATCCCAATATTCCTTAGAGTGGTGAATAACTTGGGCTTCAATATATTCCCTCCAGATCCACTTCAGCTTAGGAATTTTAGTAGATATCACCATGTAAACCACTGAAAATGTATGTTTCAGTATTTAAGACCAAAGTTCATCAGTTCACAAACACTACAGAAGCTGGTAAGCATGAAGGAACTTATTAATGAGCCCATAAAACTCCAAAAATAGATATTTAAGTTCTGTTTCCAGTCCCCAAAGACTTAATATGAACAGCTGCAGACAAAATATTTAAACTCCTGATCAGTAAAGCTAGACAGTGAGAATTACCTAACTAAATAACAGGCCTATGTTCTGCAATTACTTTGAAGGAATATGCAGGAGCTCAGAGCCTAAGCAGAGGTGAGGTTTTTGGAGTGTGAGCAGGGGAGAGGCCGGGGAACCAATATTGGTGTACGAAGCAGTTCCTCAGAAAGCGTATGCTGAGTGAGGGGAGTGTTGGGGCAAACGTGGACATTTAGCCCTTTGCGCTCAGCAGCTTCATATGTAAAATGAAGTGTTTGCCTACAGTGCAAAAGGGTTTCAAGCACAAAGACAAGCTGTCCCAAAAACAGATGCTTCTTGGGTGAAAAGAAGAGGGGAGGCAATTGTTATCAATATGGTAGATGCAAAGACCATCAGCAGAGAGATGCCCAGGCTAACCAACTATCTTCAGCCCCTTTACCTTCAAGTACCCTGTCCCACGGAATTCCCCCTAGCAATTGCTTGAAAAGGCCAAAGTTGGCCCTACTGAAGTCCAGTGTAGCTATTTTGCTCTTTATTCTATTATGACCACATG